GCCTGTGTGGCATTGGCCAACCTGCACAGTCCCAGAACACTCCCAGAAGAAGGGACTGGTAAAACATTTCTGTATACAGTACTTAAAAATCCTGGCAAGGGTCACCAAAGGTTAGAATTGACTTGATTATTATTCAAGGAATAATGAGTGGTGGTGCCCTCTCCAATCAGCTCATAATATTATTGGTTATTTTAAAATATTGTTTAGAGTAGCCTTTGACCTTGCTGTTGACTTTGACATTCAATGAAGTATCCCTCCTGACAATCCCAGCTACCATGGCCAGTGTATGCCCTCAATGCTTCCCTGCCCACAACTCATGGATACACTGAGCCACCAAACACAGCTTGGCACCCAATGCACCCATCTCTAGTGCTAGTCCCAGTCTACTTTGAAAAACAGTTGACTGCAGTATGAACTATATCCAAAGCCCCACTGAAAGAGTCCCACCGACTTTCATAAACATTGGCTGGTGTTCTATATATATATATCAACTTGGTCTCTTTCTAAAAATGTTTCAGATCAATAGAAGGTCATCAAAGCCTGGTTGGATGCCAAGTGGCAAGCCATATGGCAGTGAATGCTTTAGAAAAAAACCCTATACCTATGTCCTATACATATCGGGCAGTGTTCAGAAACAGATTAATAATAATTTCCACCATCCATCGAAGCATCTCAAATTACTCTGATATTTAATTAAGATCTAGAAACACATCTGAGTTTTGTGTTTTGAAATCCAGGCAGGGAAAATTACTTGCCCAAGGTCACAGTAAATTAATGTCAGCCCTTGTTAACAAATGCCTTGCCTTGCCGACCCTTTGTAAGAATCCAGTTCACACTCCTTTCAAAGATAGGGATAAGTGTTTTCTTCTTTCTACTTCCAGTCTGATGGCCTTCTCTTCTGAGCCATCAAATGAAGGGGGGGGCCAAGGAATCTGCCCTAAGCAGGAATGCATTCATATATCACAAAGGCTAGATGTTTACATTGCTTTTAGCTTTAGTGAACTACGAGGGAAAGGACATCAACTTTAAGGGTCAAACAACACGTTTGAAGTTGTTATTCTCTCAAATTATATACTGTCCCGTAATGCTTAGAGCAGGCTTGTCCAACCTGCGGCCCGAGGGCCGCATGTGGCCCAGGTCAGCTTGTAATGCGGCCCAGTGCAATTTTTTTATTTTTAAAGAAATTCTGAAGTTTCAAGTTACACTGCCGGCGCTTGCGGCCGGAATGTGGCCAGGGCATGTCACAACAGTAGAAGGGGAGAGATGGAAGAAAGGAAGTAGTGGGAGGGGAGGGAACAAGGGGGCTGCGTGACTGCATTGCGCCGTCCCCGTCAATAATTGGACCCCCTCCCGGCCCCATAAAGCTGCCGGAGTTGAAGCTGGCAGCCTCTGCTGTCTGAGATCGCAGCTGCCGGTAACTGCGCTTGAAGCGGGGCTGCGGAGGACGGCTAGGGCTGCCCCCCATGCAGCCCAAAACAAATGTATGTGCAGCCCAAACCAAATTTTCATCTTCTAATGAGGCCCAGGGAAGTTGAAAGGTTGGACACCCCTGGCTTAGAGCACTCTCTGGATGGTTTACAACATAACTACACAAGGAGCACTTACTCCCCCAGTGGGCTGGGTACTCATTTCACTGACCTCACAAGTCTGAAAGGCTGAGCCAGCCTTGAGCCAGCTACCTGAATCTGTCGGACTCAGACTGGATCGAACTCAGACTGTGAGCAGAGGCTTGACTTGCAGTACTGCAGTTGAACCACTGTGCCACGGGGCTCACTTGGCAACAGCTACATCTCCTCACCGCACCCCCTGGTCTCCACAATACTCCAGAATGGGAAGAGTTTGCCTATAGTTTACACTGCCAGAGAAAACATCCCTTGAAACAAATGGATCCTTTTCTGGGCAGTGCAAATTGGCAGTGAGGAGAGTGCAGTCTGGACTGGGATTGTAGTGGAGGAGGGATATAAAGACTACACTCTCACAATCCCGACTGGTTTTGCCATGCTTACTTTTGAATAAAGAAAGATATGTATCTGTCATCTGCATCTTTAAAATCACCTTTACTTTGATTCTGAATATGACCTTTCAAGCGAGGAACAGCAGTGCCAGCAGCCACAGATAGATGTAGACTCCTCTTTTCTTCATTAAGATCATATAACAGACACATCAAACAGCAGTAAAGTGAGAATTGTAAGCATAAGTTTATGGGTGCCCATCTCAGTATGCTTCCTAGTATTGAGGGGAAATGCATTGGTCAGAATCATATTGAATGCCATTGAATAAGTGGAGATGGCCCATTTGAACAACTGGGGTTTCAACTTGCACAAGCAGGTACTACACACCTTGTTACACAAGGCTAAAATCTCGAACTGGTCCCATTACAGTCTGTTGAAAGGGGTTTGTCCCAACAGAACCCCAACTGTTAGATCAGGAACCAAAGCAGCTTCTCCATGCACTCTGGTGTCGCTGGGTTATAGGAGGTGCACATAAAATGCAGCCCTCCAGATGTTGCTGAATTGCAGCTCTGATCAGCCCTTACTGGAATAGCCAGTGGTGATGAATGTTAGGCAGTCCAGTCCAGCAGCTTCTGGAGGGCCACACGTTGCATGCTCTTGAGTTATGGCATATGTAAGGGGCAACACGGTGCTGTATTTTCAGGTGTTTCATGTGAAATATTTTAAATCATTCAGAAGAAGGTATGACACAAGTTTGACATTTGGGTGTTTTCATCATAACACTGGTTCCTTAGTCCTGCTCAATCCCTCATTATCCCTCCCTAGTATTATATCCACTCTTGACTGTGAGATTGAATCCAGAGTTATGCAGAAAGGGGTAGATTTGATGGGTTGGAGCTCTATGAGACATTGGTTGTGGCATACGAGGGAAACCTTTGGTCCTCTGCATTTGGTCTTCCCCACAATCCTTTCCCACTGGGCATGATGGCTAGTGCTCCTTTGAGCTGACTCCTAAACATATGGAGGGGGGGTAGATGTTTCCCAAGCACCCTGTGGTTAAACAATCAAGCCTTCTGCGGACATTTGTTTATGCAAAGCTCTCTTAAGGTCCAACCACATCATTTCAATTCAGTTGAGATCTGGACTTTGACTCAGCCATTGCAACACCTTGATTCTTTTCTTCTCAGGCATTCTGTTGTAGATTTGCTGGTGCGCTTGGGATCATTGTCCTGTTGTATGAGCCAATTCCAGCCAAGCTTTAGCTGTTGGACAGATGGCCTCACATTTGACTCTAGAATACTTTGGTATACAGGGGAGTTCATGCACTCAATGACTGCAAAGTGCCAAGTCCTGAGACTGCAAAACAAGCCCAAATCATCACCCCTCCACCACTATGCTTGAGAGTTGATATGAGGTGTTTGTGCTGATATGCTGTGTTTGGTTTTTGCCAAAAGGGGTACTGTGCATTATGGCCAACATCTCACTTTAGTCTTGTCTGTCCAACTTGTTTATTCTTTTCCTAATTGTACTGTCATGAACTTTAACATTTCACATGCTAACTGAAGCCTGTAAAATCTGAGATGTATTTTTTGGGGGGTTTGCAATTTCTCTAAGAATTGCACAGTCTGACCTTGGGGTGAATTTGTTTGGACATCAACTCCTGGGAAGATTGTCTTGAATGTTTTCCACCTGTGAATAATCTTCCTCAGAATGATGAACTTTGAATTGTTTGGGAATGGCCATATACCCTTTCCCAGATTGATGGGCAGTGACAATTGCATCTCTATGATCACCGCTGATGTGTTCCCTCTTTGACATTGTGTTAACAGACACCTGAAAGCTCCAGACCAGCAAACTGCTAAAACTTCAGCTTTTACAGAGGTGGTCACGCTAGCTCATGATAATTTACTCCATGGCATTTGGTTAGCAGCGCGTGGCTACTACTTAGCCTCTTAATTCCTATGGAAGCAGTAAGAGTGTACTTAGCTTTTCACATACAGGTTCCCCATGTTAGCTTTATTTTTGTTAAATAAATTATGACACTGTGTAATACGTCATGTATTGTTGTTCATCTGAGTTGTATTTACCTAATTTTCAGACCTACTAACGACCAGATGGTGTTTATTATGTCCTGATACACACGTGGTGGTGCTGCGGGTTAAACCGCAGAAGCCTCTGTGCTGCAGGGTAATAAGACCAGCAGTCATAAGATCAAATCCATGCAACGGAATGAGCTCCCGTTGCTTGTTCCAGCTCATGCCAACCTAGCAGTTCGAAAGCATGTACATGCGAGTAGATAAATAGGTACCACCACGGGGGGAAGGTAAATGGCATTTCGTGTCTAGTTGAGCTGGCCACATGACCACAGAAACGGTCTACGGACAAACGCTGGCTCTATGGCTTGGAAACGGGGATGAGCACCGTGCCCTAGAGTCAGAAACGACTGGCCTAAATGTCAAGGGGAAACTTTACCTTTACCTTTTACATGAAACCATAGACTTCAACGAGGGTGTACTTCATTTTTCACATGACTGAATTTTTAGGAGTGAATCTCATTTTAAGAGAAAGTTTCAGTGCTGTTGCTGAAATGACTGTTTATTTTATTAGCTGTTATTTGCATTTTAATATTTTCATTGCCATGAGCTCCCCAGTCAATACTGCTACTGGGTGGCATATGACTATAGTAAGTAAATAAATCACTATAATGATATAGAATTCTTTTTGGTCCAAATGTGTGTGGGAGAGACAACTGTCTAAGAACCCCATGGTAAGGAGCCCCAAACCTTGGCAGAATTACCAGCTGACACATGCCCATAAAGTTTAGGGCTGTATTGCATATTAGTTTTAGGAGGGTGAGGAGAACACCATGAAAGATAAAGAATCTGTTCCCCAGACTTCTCAAGTGTCCAATTCCAGACCAAAACCTAAAAAAATACATAAACTCTATTGACCCCAAGCCATTGAATGTTAACAATTGTTTTCAAGTTACCTGTGCTTGCTTTGCCTGTAATAATACCAACCAACTCTCTTGTGTGTTTTCTTTCACAGCCCAATTTAGGTGGAGTGATCTATGTAGGCTCGGCTATACCCATTGGCTCTGCTTTAGAGAAGTATTTTGCCCACTCATCCTGCCACTTCAGGCTCCTGGCCCAGGCATCTCTTGCTCCCATTAACATTCTTTAGCACGTCACAGAGGATCAGTGAATAGAACTGGGTTATTTTCAAAGCACTCTGCAGTAAAAATAGTTTTGTGACTCACTGCTCTGAGAACGAGGCATCCTTGACATCTTCAGAGGCACTCTAAACATTATTCATTTTCGTAGCCTCAGTTTATCTGAAGGGAAGCATCGCTAGTTCTTCTCATTAGTGAATTCATCAGCAATGTTGGGTATTGGTGTTGGCAGCTACAACTCATGGGTCAAGATACAAGGCTGGAACAAAAAAACATTTTGGCACCTGAGCTAGATTGACCAACTAAAAAAGGACAGGGTTCTTGTACCTTTTATGATTGTGCAGAGGAAGAAAGTTCAGGAAGAGGAAAGCAGCATCAGCAACTATTAAAGCTAGAGGAGCCCTGCCCTCTTTTTCATCTGGGCACCTTATCAGTGATTTCTGTGGTAGCAATACTTTTCCATTTAAAGTTACATCCACAAGAAGAATTAATTCACAAACAGATAAAATCAATTTGGGCTGCAGCCTTACACAGTAAGACAACTTTGAAGATAAGGGTAAGCAATTTCATTTAGGGTGGCCCTAAATGGAAACTACACCTGCTGAAATTTTCTCCTTCACACAAATATTAATGATACAAAAACTTTCTTCTGATCACCTTAGTCTAATTAAGTATAGAATCCTGATCTGTGAGCTGGATCCAGTAGTTAAGCTCAGCTAGACTAGATCTAATAAATCAATGAAATTTTCATGGTAATTTACCAGGTATCTATTAATTCAATGGGTCTGCTCTAATTGGGCTAACATTTTGGCTATGTTCTTTAAAAACTATTATAACATTATCTCCCTTGAAATAACTTGCTCTTCGAAAATTGGTTGCACCCTTGTTTAAATTTTAGACTGTTTTTGTTAATGTAATATTTACTTCTGTGTAGGTTGTTTTAACTCTTTGTAAACCACTCACAATAGTGGTTCAGCACTAATGGGGTGGTATATTAAATCAATCAATCAATACATGGCCTGCAATCGAACTTTTTAAAAAGTTTGGTTTCCAAAACTACTTCCCCTCAGGGAACATTTTTATACAACTCTCATCAGTTACAAGCAACATACCTCCCTATCTCTCACACAGTAAGGAAAGCTGTTCCAGTGCCTTGAGTTCTGCAACAGACCATGCAGAGTGAAACTTCAGTTAATGCTGGAATCTATATATTACCTAGTGTGGGATGTGGTGGCGCTGTGGGTTAAACCACAGAAGCCTCTGTGCTGCAGGGTCGGAAGACCAGCAGTCATAAGATCGAATCCACATGATGGAGTGAACTCCTGTCACTTGTCCCAGCTCCTGCCAAACTAGCAGTTTGAAAGCATGTAAAATTGTGAGTAGATAAAAAGGTACCACCACAGTGGGAAGGTAACGGTGTTCCATGTCTAGTCATGCTGGCCACATGACCACGGAAACTGTCTATGGACAAACGCTAGCTCTATGGCTTGGGAATGGGGATGAGCACCTCCCCCTAGAGGTGGACACAGCTGGACATTTGTCAAGGGGAACCTTTACCTTTATCTTTTATATTACCTAGTCAACCCTTGCCCCATTTTGCCCTAGCAGGGGGCAGTAGAAGAAGATCAAGATACAATTGTAGCTGGTTAAAAAAAAAGGACTTTTGTTCTACCTGCATTTAAATGCCTATTTTACCTTTTTACCCATTTTTTAATCATGTAAGTGTACACAATTTTTCCCTCTAGGATCCCTCCCCCCAAATCTGCAGCTGCGCTAAAATGTAATTTAATGCAAAAATAAATTCTTCAAACTTGTAATGAGGAAAAAGGGCTAAAATCTTTACAGTAAAAAGAGTATGCAAATTGTTCCTGAGGGGCTACTTGGATTTTTTTTCCCTTCAGAAATCCTTTGCTTAGCATAGTCCATCACAATTAGAGGTCACCCATTGAATCAACAGAACTTACGAAGGAGTTGACTCCCCAAATCACTACTGACTCAACAGGCCTCCTGTAGTTGCAACTTAATAGGCTAAGCAACAAGATTTCAGCCAATGTAATGAACATGTGTGCCTGAGTTGTTGAAGCCATCTTTGCTTGTGTGACATTTCCAACCTCTTGTATATCATGTTATCGATTTCATTGTTGGTTTGATGCTGGCTCATGGAAACTCATTAAAATCATTTTGAAGTCTTTGCCATTTGATGTTTTCATGTTGTATATGTAGTATCAAATGTATTGCAATTAAGCTCCATATTTAATCTGCATTTTTCTGATCTCTTTTAGTTCTTATCTTATTTTCAATAAACCAAATGCAGAAAAACCTAAGGATCTGTGAAATCAGTAGTCTTATGTGTGTTTAAATAAAACTGTTGGATGGTGGCCAGCTTCTACCACAGAGTCCCTCACTACATGAGACAACCCACAATTAGCAAGGTCAACAAGAAAAAAAACACATGCAGCTAACCATTGAGGCCTGCCAAGGAAAATAAATTACAACATCACACTATAGCCTGTACACTAATTAGGAACTCAGCTGTTCTTGTACAGATGCAGGGTTGGGGCATGTACTGATGCTGTAGCCAGAAGAAGGGGAAAACAAATGAATTTACAGACACACTGCCAAATCCATATATACATGCATTCTGTGCAACAGAACATTCAGACAGAGAGAGAGAGAGAGAGAGAGATGTTCAGCTGCAATTTTGAAGTGTTACATAATGATGACAGACTTAAGAGGAGAAAAGAAATGTCACTGGTTGCACAGAAGTAGTGAGTTGGTGAATCAGAGTTTTCTTGAGAAATGACAGAGAGCCTGAACAGGGTCAGGCTCACCATTAGTGAAGCTTCAGGCAGCAAATGCAGGAGGGCAGGGAAGCAACAGCAAGACATTAGAGAGCTGTGTCTTCCCTGTGACCAGCCCTTTGTACCCTAAGCTATCTTGTGGGTAAAACGGTGGTCCCTTCTTGGCTGTTGAAGCACTTCATCTGCCAGCTTTATACACAGGCCATGAGAAAGGAGAGATATTTTGTTCTTTGCCTTAGGGCAGAAAAATATTTTGAGGTGACCTTGCATATGAAATCCAGACCCTGTGCTGCTTCTTACTTCCATACAAAGAAGAGAAGATTTGGATTCAGCCCAATGTACACATTTTCTTGTTCTGGAGGACGACATCATGGCTATTTGATGAAGCAGTTCTAAAGAACAATATTGTGTTGCATCCAGATGTACAATTTGTATGTGAAACACTCACGTGGTACATATTTTGGATTTTTAAAGCAATCTGAAAGCAGTGAATATTAAATAGCAATGTGTGTTTAATGGACTATTCACAGAGGAAGATGGTGTTGCTTGTAGAAGAAGATGTACAGGTGGAATGGATGAATGCTTGGAATAAAATAAGTCACTTGGGAAGGTAATTGTATTCAGTAGTTTGTGTATTCTTTGCAATCACTTCTTCAGTTGTTTTTTCCATTCTTTTCTGAATTATGCCCGTTCTGGAGATAAGATAGGAAGAAACCAAACAATTCTTCCCCGGAAATGAACTTTGATGTTCTCAACGTTATGGTGATTGTTAAAGCCAAGGAAACGCTTTCTGAATTAGCTTAGATAATATGAAGTTAATGAGTGTAGGAGTACCTTTTTATTTCCTTTGCATGAGCCTCAAAAGCAGAAGCCTGCCCTGAAAGTAATTTCCAGCAAATTAATGAAACATTATGCACAACTTCATCTTCAAAAGAAGTAATACTCTGAGGTACAAAGTAGAATTAAACACCCAGCAGCCTTTGTATCTGGACATACCCTTCTAGCCAAGTAGTCAGGAAATGTTCCTGTGGCCCTAAATGGATGAAAATTACTGTATATGGTGGTGCTACCCCCTGTATAGTTTTGGCAGATTATAGCTTTTGATTTTGTCTCCTCCATAAAAAATAATGGTGAATTATGTATTCCGCCCGCCCCCGGCAACTTTTTTTTACAATTTTGGCTGTCATTCACTGATGCTGCAGTTATATTTCTCAAAGTTTGAAGTTTCTAATTTATCCAAGTGGACAATACAGAGTGTTAAATGTGGGGTAAGAACTGTCACTTTTCTAAACTATCCTGTCAAAGCTAACTTTTGGTGGGATACATCTAAGTCGAGAGT